AAAGTACAAATTTGCAGTAGAACATTTGTCAAGATTTCTTGCTCTGAGCAAAGGTGTTGCACAGATAAAAGTGACAGATGATCAGACTAACACTTTGTCATAGGCCAATATCCTCAGTTGGCTTGAGGCAAAACCTGAGGAGGGAACAGGGGTCTTGTTACGGAGAGCTCCCTAAGTCTAAAAAATCTTCTATCAGTTTATAATGACAGCACTGTTAAGTCTGTAAGGCATGGCAGTAAAAAATGGGAATAACTTCAACACCTGAATATAATGATTGAAAGGCTATTTAAACTGTTTGGTGACACTAAAAAAAATCAACTAAGAGTCCTTAAAAAGTGGGGTTTCCCTTTCCTCCACTGACACGATTAGTACCTCCGACTCCTGATAGCTAAAACTGAACTGATGCCTTTTGTGGTCCATGACAGCAAGCAAGCTAGCCAGTGACAAGTGAGAGCTGTTGATATTATGGCTTGTCCATCTTGAGTAGCTTAATGATTCATTCTAAATGTAGATAAAGGCATGACGGCACAAGTGCAGACTGAAGTTTAAATAAGCACAAGGCATTTGTGCTCCAGAGAAAGGATCAGCGCTCTGTGAATAACCTCCTAAGCCCTATTATAAGCTATTATGGCAAGGCTCAACTATACAGACCAGTGAGCAGTGATAACTAACATGTCTTTGGGGTCATCAGGTGTGAACCACCTTTCACCAGTGTTTCGTCTAGTTGGTCCCACGACACCTCCAGGAGGCTAGACAGTGATCTCTGGCATCCCAAAGACACTCCCCTAATGCCAGCTCTCACTGCTCCTTGCACCGACCCCACAACCTCCTTTACCTAACCTATATTACAACATGGCTTTCCCATCCAAACAGCACTGCCACCTTGAACAAACCCAGGCTCCGTTTATGTAAGCTTCGGGGCGTGACCGTGCCGAGAGTAACTTTCCTAGCAAGAATCAAATTTACAGTTATAATTAAGATTTCTTAAGTTGAGAAAAGATACAAGGTCTGAGATAGGACAGGACACAGCCACAAGTTTAGAAACTGCTTCTGTACTAGAAAAATAGATTTTTTCCAAACTTTGAAACTTAAGTTAAAGGCACAGTGTGTAGGATTTAGTGGCATTTAGTGTTAAGGTTGCAGATCTAAAACATCTACCGTGTGCCAAACTTTTGGGAGAACTTCGGTGGCCGACGCAAAAAAGCAAATGGCCCTATCTAGAGCAAGTGTTCCGATTTGTCCATTCTGGGCTACTGAACAAGCAGTTAGGATATTTTTCTGTAATGAGGCCACATAGGCCTTCTCTTGTCTGAAAGGTGCTGGTTCTGTTTAACTAGATACTAACTGAACAGTGAGTGGATTTGCTATTAGTAGCTTCACTCCAATAGTATTTGTTTTCGAGACACCCACGATGTTCAAACCGTCCTCTAATACTGTAATTATAATCTAGCATCTTAAAAGATTTTGCATACTTGTATTGTATGGTACATTGAAATTGGAGCAATTTGTGGCACCACTGAGATTGGCACTGCACCTTTTCTAGCTGTGGTAATTTTAAAGGCATTTCTTTATTTCCTGTGATGTCTGCTTTATTGGACAGTATAATAGAGAGTGACAAGAAAGATGAGAAGGAGAGATGGAATGCACATCATGAGCTGAGCCCGACCACATTTTGAGTGCATGGCATGTGAAGCAGCCCACAGATCTGACGTGCAACCCCCAAGAGAAATTTTCATCCTATACTAGAAGTCTATGATGGTGTTCAGCATAAATGAAGATATCAGATGCCAGGGATCTATATAATGGAAAAACCTGGTGAACAACAGTCTGAAGTAATGACTTGCATGAAACAATGACATAAGACCCGCAGAAACAGCCATATTTCTCTGTAAAACTTGGCTTCTATAGGTCATTTGGAATTGTGTCGAGTTTAGATTTTGGCAGTTTTGAGAAGAGTGCATGGTTGGTTTCATTGGAAACTGTAATTGGAGACTTGGTTCCCTCATGTTATTGTTCCCACTGACATCCCCTTTGTATTGGCTGACAGGAATATAAATTAACGTCTCCAGCTCCTTCAAAACTACGTCCATTCATCATCCAAAATAATGACATTCTGACTTTTTTTTTCTTTGAACATCCCAAATTATCTGCTGACCACCACAGTCTGGCCACAAGTAGATGTCTGCTAATCTCATGATAGGACCATGCTTGGAGAACAGACTAATGTGTTGTCTGTAAATTATGGGTTGTGATTAGGCCATCAAACACACTTCCATTTATAATGGAAAAACAGGCACACAGGAGGAGCTGAATGGATATTTTACGAGACTATAATGTTTTATTCATGTAGGTAATGTAAAGAAAGATCAAACTGAATGTTCAGCTGGATTTTTTCACAAGCGTACTTCTTATAGAATAACTTAAGCAAAGCTTTTGCCCCTTTACCTGCTAACATGAGCTTTGAATCCTTGCTTTCTGTTGATGTCTTAAAAGCAATCTTGGCAACTTTCTGTAAAATGGCTTGATCATGTTTTTCCCTTATATAGTTTCCCCATGCAATTCTAGTTCACACAATTACAATTTCCCCTCCATCGGCAGTCTTTATTGCAAAGAAAATGCCTCTGCTAGCACCGTCTTCTCCTTCCTCACCAGCAGAGGAAACATTGGCGAATTATGAGACAATAAGTCCCTGGGCACAGACATGCAGAAGGCCCCACAACTTCTTCTACATAGGAGTAAGACATACTGACTCGAGTTGTTTAGTATTTTTTTTATTATCTCTTTATAGTCATTATACATCTCTCTGTGGTTCTGTGTTGCTTTGTAGTCATTATGTGTCTCTGTGTAGTTGCTTTGCATCTCTTTGTTGTCAGTGTGTCTCTTTGTGGTGTTTTGGTGTCTTTGCAGTTGTTTTGTGTCCCTGTGGTCATATTGTGTTTATTTTTTAGTTATTTTCTGTCTCTTTGTAGTTGTTTTGTATCTCTTTGTAGTCATTGTGTGTCTCTTTGTAGTTGCTTTGTATCTCTTTGTAGTCATTGTGTGTCTCTTTGTAGTTGCTTTTTATCTATCTGTTGTTGTTTTGTATCTCTCTGTATTCATTGTGTGTCTTTGTAGCCATTTTGTGTCTCTTTGTAGTTGCTTTGCATCTCTTTGTAGTCATTCTGTTTCTCTTTGCATTTATTTTGTGTTTCTTTGTTGTCATTTGGAGTCTCTTTCTACATGCTTTGCATCTATATGTAGCCATTTTGAGTCTTTTTGCAATTGCTTTTCATCTCTGATAAATTTATTTTTAATCTCTTTGGAGTTGTCTTGTGTGTCTTTGTGGTCATTTCATGTCTCTTTGTAATTGCTTTGCATCTCTTTGTAGCCATTTTGAATGTCTTTGTGGTGGCTTTGCATCTCTTTATTGTGTTTTTAGCCTTTTATAGTAATTTTGTGTCTCTTTGTGGTTGTTTTGCCCCTTTGTAGTCATTGTGAGTCTCTGTGTCTCTCTTCAGCTGTCTGTGTGACATTTGGCAGTTGAAGGCCAGGCCCTGACACTTTGGGGCCCTGGGCCTGTGCCCAGCAAGTTTGTTCAGTAATTCATCCATGCTCCTGTAATACAGTAGGAGTCACTCTTCATTTCATGAAGCACAGCAACCAGGCGTCAATTTGATAATTGGATTTGAAAGTGCTGAATGTATCTGTGCTCTGCTGTATGCTTTATTATTGAAAAAGATGTGAGGCCAGCTGAAAGCAGTTTTAGCAGAAGGCAGTTGATCAAATACAGAATAGTGCTGTAGAGTTGGAAGCAAAGTACAGTACATGGAATGGAGGAAATGATTATAGTAAATTGTCCTCATGCATAGAGACATTGCACATGGAGCAGTGAAACGTGTCATGGCAATAAAAATGTGGAGGGATCTAAGAGGCAGTTCTTGCCTTTCAGCCTCCTCATGTAGACGCTCAATTACTCTGTCACACTCACACAGGCGCACCCAGATGAACAGACACAGCTACACTTGGATTCAAGTAGACAAACACATACATACAACATCATCAGTGAGAGAAGATTTTGTGGAATCTTGGTAGAGTATCTGCAGCCTCTCTGGCTCCTCTTCTCTCCACTGATTCATCCCAGACCATGGCATCTTCCCGAGCCCATAAGGTCAGACGCTGTGCACATGTCTGCACTCTGTCATTATTAAAAGCCCACAATGATGCCTGCTGCCTTCAAAAGAATACCTCACCCTCCAAATGGCCATTTGTGTATCTATTGCTCATCCCTCTGTTACCTTGAATTTGTTAAGAAAACTTTTTTTTTTCTGGTGTGCTTCCAGTGAACGAAGAATCCAAAAAATTGAGAAAATTCTCAATTTTAGAAGTCACGGGCAAACACGTTTAACAACTGCAAAACTGTGACAAAACATCCGGTTGCTAACTCTCACACAGCCAGTGCAACAGACAGCCCTTTCCTATTGGAAATTAAACTATAAGTGAAACTTATCTATGCTCTGTTCAAAGCCAGACTTCACTCACAAAAACAGAAATTTAACCTCGCTGAACACAGGAGCTGCTGGCTTGATCAGTCAGTCTATTTGTGTCGTTGTGTGACTGGTGTTTTAAAGGGTTAATTCGGTTTAACCAAAGTCATACAATACAATAACAGGATGAGCACTGATATACTACTGATATACTGGTACAGATGGTCACTGTGGAGATGTAGAATTCCTTTAAGAAATGGAAGCTTTCCTTCTCCTTTATATTGTTACCTTGGGGCTAACTTTCATGACAGTTCAGTCCAAAATTAACTGTTTTGAATATTTGAAAGAACCTTGCTTGTCCCCATAACCTAAAAGGGGTCTCCAGTGTTGTTTATTTGTACATCACATTTTAAGCACTGAACATCAATTGAAACAGGTCCTTTGGTATTCATGTGCAATTGAGTGAACAATCTCTTTTTCCATCCAGTACTTTGTCCAAAGGAAAGACGAGTAGAGTCCTTAACTCAGTGCCTACAGGTGTCCTTGTTAGGATGTTGAAGAAGGAGAAGAAAAGGGCCCAGGATGCTGCTGCTCAGCTGGCTGACATCAGCAACGGTCATAGCCTGGCCTCCCGGAGTGCCTCGAGGTTGTCAACAACGCCATCACTAAGGGAAGGAAACACTGACACCATCTCAGCCGATCATGAGGGACGAGCTATACAGTACATGAAAAGAGGTACTTGAAGAAACTTTAGTTTTTCATTTTATTTTGTTTTTTGTGGTGTTTCCAGATATGGTGTGATAGGAATATGGTGTAACTCTCTTTGCAATACAAAATGGGGTCTATCTAGCCATGCAGATAGGGTTTTGAGGTATCAGACTTCGCTTCCACCCCAGTTCCAATAAAAGCTGTCCACAGCAATGTGAGCTATCCAGAGTAGCAGGGACATTGTCTCTGGAAAAAGACGTTGCTGTTGAATCTTTGTCAAGAAGAAAGCAGGAAAAGCTCGCACACTGATCAGAAAAATGGATTGTCCACTGTTGAATCTTTGAAATGTCTTTTTGCCTGCTGCAAGCTCTGCGAAAAACATCACGCCCACTTTTATTGTATCAGGGTGGTGGAGAATTCTCACAACTGTGGTTAATAACAATCTGCGTGGTTATATAATGTCTTTAATTCACACTTTTGTTTGTTGTTTTTATTGTTGTTCGTATTGGGTGAACTAGACCTTTATGATTGCACTATTCAAGCAGCTTGGTGTCTCAGTGGTTTTTATTGTCATCTCACAGCAAGAAGGTTCTACCAGGTCCAACTGTGGCCTTTCTGTGAGGAGCATGCACTGTCCATGTTCTCATATGCATTTTAGGTATAAGGTGATACTCAGAAATGGAGTTGGTCCTTAGCGCTGCACTATTGCTGCTCACTGCTACTAAATAGTAAGATCGGTCAAAAGTATCCAATGGGAACTAGTAAAGCACTGGTATAAATTAAACACTTTTTCCAGATGTTTATTTCATTGAACATGACAGTTTGTCTGACCTGGAAGAAGTAAGGACTTTGTTATAAATCAGGCACTAAGAGTACAGACACATAATCTTTCTCAACTGAAATGCGGTCATAGTGATTTTCAGTGTGCCTGTGGGGCATGACAAATCCTTGATTTCTGGATTTCACTGCACAGCGAAGAGACTGACATCCCACAGCTCCCAACATTGTCTTATTTCTAAACAATGTCATCAGTGGGATTGCATGATGTATCGGGAGTTTCCTTTCAGAGGTCATTCAAGTGTCTTAGTGTAATCGTGTCGGCAGTTCAACATTGGACAGTACAGAATATTGAACCTGTAATTTGCTACTGATGAGTTTAAACCTATAATACTTACTGGAACCTGAAGCAGAGACCAGAGGGTCAAGAATGCTGTAATGTAAACACAAGAGACACTACTCAGACCTGACTGGGATAACATATCTGGATCCACTTCATTTGAGAAAACATCTAATACAAGGATACATATGCCTATATATCTCATATACTGTAACCAAACATGCCAGAGGATATTTAAAATTGGTGTTTTTTGGTGCATATATACAAATATTTTGCAAATATGATACGATTTCTCAGTTCCAGACTCAGTAACTGACAGATTACTTTCACATGTGGTCTTGAATTGAGTGTTATCACAGTGTTGCAGTTGATTTGCTTATCCCCATGTAGTTTTGCCATGGCACGTCTCTTCAGAGGGTCTTGACTTTAATGAAAGTACAATAAAGTCTCAGAGATGGCAGAGTTAGTAGCAGAGGCTTCAGACTGCAACCTCTCTTGGATTGTCAGTCTTCTTGTAACTTTCTTAGACATGAACTTGGTCTAAATGTAACAGGAATGTGGACTCTGCTGACAGTCAAGCCAATCAAGCTTTGGAATATACTGCCTAACCAGCGGCAGCATTTATTTGGCTTTTCCTGTTTAATTTTGGTTAAGTGGAGCCTTAAGTGTGATGATAAACCTGAGCCCTTATAACGAGCTCGGTCATAGCCATCGGGCACAGGAGTATGAGCCAGCAACTCATCACACTGAGGCCGCGCTCCTGTCTGTGCTAACCACAGCTCCCTCATCCTTTTTGACATTTTTGTGTAATGGTGCCCAGTGCGGTAATAAGGCCAGCGGAAAGGTAATTGCAAACAGGGTCTCTGAAAGAAGAGCCTATTAAAAAACAAACACATGTTTGAACTCAGTCCAGTCAGAATTAGTAAGCGAATCAGTCATTCGTCGAATGGACAATGAGGAGCGCTGTGATGGATGGCCATAAAGCTGTGGTCTATAAAACCACTGATAAATGATGTGCCATATGTGTTGGTCTCTCCCAGTGGTTTGTTATCTAAAAGGGAGCGAGCATGATCATTTGGGTCATCTCACCAGACGATTTGTTTTCACCTGCCCCCGCAAGTTCTCTTTCTTTCTCTCTTTCCCATTTTATGGGTCGTGATGACCTCTACGGGTTCGGCTTCCATTTGGTTGACCTTTGACTGAGTGGCATCTGCTGCTTTACAACCACATACTTAGACAATGATGAGAACTATTTTATAATGCTGTCTGTGTTTTATCAGCCCAGTCACCAGAAGAAAATGACATTGTACATTTCTGCAAACCACAAATACATTACATTTGCAGATTTCATGTGTATCATATCAGTATTTCAAAAGTGGCATAGTATGTGAACTAACTTTGTCATCTGAAGGAGGGGGAGATGGTGAATAGCGTAACACCCAGGCGAGATGCCGACCAAGCTGCAGACCACTGTTCGAGACCAACAAACAACACTGGTTGTGATTAAGAGTGTCATTGCTGTGTTTGCAGCAGCTTTTTAGGCACCAAACGTGGGTGTTTTGTAGCGACCTGTTGCTGTTTTTCAGATGAGGATAATGCAACAAAAAGCAGTTGTTTTTTACTGAGATGTCACTGTCTGTCCTGCTGGATTAGCGCCACAAAGGTGGTCATTTTTCACTGAGACATCGCTGCTTTTCCAGCCGGGATAGAGGCACGAATAGCTGTTTTTACTGACACGTTGTGTTTGCTGCAGGGATTGTGCCCCCAAAAACTGGGTTAGTGGGGGCCAAAACTATCTATTCCAAACATAACTAAGTGGTTTTTGTGCCTAAACCTAACCCCACATTAACCACAGTGTTACTTTCTGTTGCTGATGGCGTTGGTTTTTATATATTGCAGTATATGATCTTAAAAGAAAAGTATGCTTTATGTTTACTGCAAATTTAATGCTCACATTTTTACAATGTCTAATGGTCCTCATGACAAGAACCATAAACACCTACATGACCTACAGTATTTGAGTTGGTCTGATTTGCTGAATGCAATTCACAAAAGAGTTAAACTAAATCCAAACACTGAAATATTACATGTAAATAATCCAGCTGTTTGGTGGTCAAATACGAGAGGATATGGGTCGTTTCTGTCAGACTCACAAACACAAGTCATTGTGAAGAATTATCTAGGCTGTCATAATTCTTGAGTTCCTGAATAAAAGTTACTTCTGGCTAGGACACACAAAAAGTCATCAATACCGCCCTCAAAATGACATTTTCACGGCTGTTTCCTCCCATATTTAGTGATAGCTTATTGCATTTCATAGCCTACAAATAAAAGAAAACTGTTGACTTTGTGGAAATAGGCCCCTAGATGATTTTGACATACTGTGATCACCTACTCCTACGCCTTAGTTTTACCGAGAATTTACTATCGCACTTTCATTTATGAAGTGCTAACAACATGGACAGTGGGTTCCAGTGAAGAGCTACAGCACATATGATTCTAGTAGATGTCCTGCTATAGATATCAACACTTAAGTTTCATAATTTTCACAGGTGATCTTTCAAATCAGTGGCTGTTATGTCTGCTTAAAATCACTTAGTGTCACATGTCAGGCTCAACTCAGATTTTACCTTTGATAAATGAGACTTGGTCTAGTGAAGCTAATGCACTGTTTAGAGTTGTATCGTCACTTCCCTCATACATTAATTATGTATTCTGTTTTTTCAAGAACTTTGTCTGGAGAAGTTAAAATATTTCTGTTCCCAAATCATCCTCACAATGCCCTGGACAGATTTAAGAGGCATACTAACCTGTGAATGTTTCACATCAAAACTATTCATACCAGCGGAGATGCAACAGGTCTGCCATCGTCGTGACACTGCTGTGACATCCGTTTCACGCAACATGATTGGCTGATGCCTTTATTTGCAGTATGAAAGCTCACAAAATTGACCTCGTTTTGATGAAAAAAAATTACAGCGATTTTTCCCAGTGCAACATTTTCGTTTTGTGTGAAAGTACTCGTAACAAAAACAATTTGAAGAAATAAAAAGGCCTGCAGTATGTAAAGGTCTTTGCACACAGACTGTACAGTGACTTAATCACATACTTTTGCCAACAGCTTTGTATCTCATCGTCCAGTTTGTTGTGGAAAAGTTGCTAACCCCTCAAATATTCCCAGATCAAGCAGTCCCTTGCTAGCAGTTACATGTCCAGTCTGGAATGTTCACCCACTTTTCTCACACTTTGTGTCCCTTTCTGCTCTGTTTGCAACCAGCGATGTGGGAGAACACACTCCATCAGCTGTTGATTAGCAGGGAAAGCTTGATGCTGTCCAGAGAGGCTCTGCACTTTGGGAAGCAAAGGCTTTAAGAACACATTGAGCAGTTCCAGGAGGATCAGAGAAGACACTTCTCACACTTAAATATATCTGACTTTCACAGTGTGGAGTCCTGGAGCACACCTGGTGTCAAGGATTTTTTTTTTAAAACACCAGTTAATACTACAGTGTCAAAAGCTTTTGCAAGAGGCCATTACATTGTTTCATATTGAATTCCTCTTAAATATGCAAAATGTGCAAATATTAGAAACACACAATTGACACAGTTGTTTCATACAGTGCACTGTTATATATCTTGTGCCCCACATCTGGAGCGCCTATTTTCCATGACCCACTTGGAGACTCATAACCAAACTATATGCACATTAGATCATTGTTCTTTACTTGGTCCTAATTCAAAACAAATGCCCTACACTTATCCTTTCCCCATGCTCGATGGGTCACTGAATGTTTATGTATGTTTTAATTTAGGTTTAATCTGAGGGCGCCGCTGCTGTAGCCAACAGCCTGTATGGTTACGGTGAGGGTAATTGCTGTCCCCTGAAGATTATCTGTAAATGTAATGATGAT